CGACATACATTACTTACACACATTTTTACAAATTATATTTTCTGTTTTACTATAATCAAGGTGATAAACTTATATTGCGAATACCTGCTCACTACTCAATTACTAATAACTAATATTTTCATTCCCCCTTTTGTAACAAAGCAATAAAATTATGGAACTCGCTTCCTTTAACAATTAAGAAAGCCCAAAGCATTGAGTCTTTAAAAAAAAATATTAAAGATTATTATGTAATTATGTGTTCTACTTAATATCTTTTTATTTTGTCATATCTACTTTTCTTGATAAGGTTTATGTATGTGGTATATAGTTATAATGTATTACAAAATATTCATAGATATGTATGTATTCTTACATATAAGTATATGTGTATATGTATGTGTGTATCATCATCATCATCATTACAGCCTTTCATAAGTCCACTGCTGAACATATGCCTCCCCCAAGGAATGCCACAAAGCACGGTCCTGAGCCACCTGCATCCATCGACTTCCTGCATGTCTTACCAGGTCGTCACTCCATCTCGTGGGGGGACGCCCTACACTTCGCCTACCGGTACGAGGCTGCCACTCGAGAACCTTTCTTCCCCATCGGTTGTCGGTTCTTCGAGCTATATGGCAGGCCCACTGCCACTTCAGCTTACTAATCTGTTGGGCTATGTTGGTTACTCTGGTTCTACTGCGGATATACTCATTTCTAAGTTTATCACGCAGAGAAACCCCTAGCATAGCCCTCTCCATAGCTCGCTGAGCGACCTTGAGCTTCCTCATACGGCCAGCAGTGAAGGGCCACGTCTCAGATCCGTAAGTCATCACTGGCAACACGCACTGGTTGTATAGTTTCGTTTTAAGGTTTTATATGTATGTCTGACGAGAAGATGTGTCATAGTTTCCCGAACGCTGCCCAGCCGAGTTGAATCGGTCGATTGACCTCTCGGTCAAAGTTAGACTTGCCTAGTCGGACTATTTGTCCCAGGTAAAAATACACGTCAACAACTTCGAGCTTAGTGCTCCCAACAACTACCGGCATAGGTGTGACATGGGACATTAAACATGATCTTTGTTTTGTCCATGTTCATCCTAAGACCTATTCGTTGGGAGACACTATTGAGGTCATTGAGCATGGTGCTTAGGTCCTCCAGTGATTCTGCCATAAGGACTATATCGTCGGCAAATCGGAGGTGAGTGATGTACTCACCATTGATGTTAATACTTTCGGCTAATACTCGTACTTTCGAATTTCGACGGAATCAAAGGCTTTCTCATAGTCCACATACGCCAGACATAGTGGCAAATTGTACTTTTCGGACTTCTGTACAATTTGCCGAAGGGTATGTATGTGGTCTATGGTGCTAAAGCCCTTTCGGAAACCGGCTTGTTCGGGAGGCTGGAAGTCGTCAAGTCTGCGCGCGAGACGATTCGTAATGACTCTCGAAAACAGCACGTAGACGCGGCTCAGAAGGGAAATCGGTCTGTAGTTTTTCAAGAGAGCGTTGTCACCTTTCTTGAAGAACAAGACCACCGCACTTCTGTTCCACGCCTCCGGTGTAATGCCACCATGGAGAACGGAATTAAAGAGCTTCTGAAGGACTTCAAGTACCGGTCTTCCACCCGCCTTCAGAAGCTCCGCTGTAATTCCAACCACGCCTGGGGCCTTGTCGTTTTTAAGGTGCTGGAGAGCCATTCTAATCTCGCTCAGACTGACGTCCGGGATATCTTCGGAATAGTGTCGGATAAGACTCGCTCTTGGATCGTTACTCACACTTGCGTGTGGCTTCAACGATGACGTGTACAGCTGCCCATAGAACCTCTCAATCTCACTCAAAATCTCAGGTGCCCCGGAAACGATGCTGCCACAATCAGTCCTCAGCCTTGACAGTTGGCTCTTTCTGGCAGACAGATCTCTGGCAAAGACATTGGAGCCTTGGTTCCGCTAGATCGCTTCTTTAATACAAGCTGTATTGAAGTTGCCTAAGTCCCGCCGCATGCATTTGGAGATCTGTCTGTTCAGTTGCCTGTATGCTGTCAAATCTGTTGAAGAATGTAGCTTCATCTCCCGTCTAACAGCCATGAGATTAAGAGTGTGATCAGAGAGTTTTTGTGTTCTTCTGCGGCGGGTCTTACAGAACTTAGCTCCGAACGCATGGACAGTTTCCACGAGCTTGTCATTCATATCGTCCACTTCATTGCAGTCTTCTAGGCACTGAAAACGGTTTTGTTACTCGAGCTGAAAGGTGTCGGGACTTTGGATTAGAGCACGAGGGGGACGGAGCGTTGACGTTATTAGACGAGCCCTCTCCAACTTAACGTTTAGGTTCAGTGTGCCTCTAACCATTCGGTGATCGCTGCCGGTTTTCACCCTCGCGATCACTGAGACATCACTGAACAGTTGTCGTCTGGTCGTCATAATGAAGTCAATCTCATTTTTTGTCGAACCGTCGGGGCTCGACCAGGTCCACTTCCTGTGGGGCCGCTTCTGGAAGAAAGAGTTCATCATAAAGAGTCCCTCTTTCTCCATGAAGTCGGCCAGCTGCTGGCCCCTTGGGTTCCGTTGCCCTATTTCAAATTTCCCTACCTTCAGCTCACCGTTCTCTCTTGTACCTAGTTTTGCATTGAAGTCTCCCATTCACACGCTATAGTGAGTTTTGGAGGAATGCATGGCTCTAGATATATCAACATACATTTCCTCCACCGCCTCATCGGGATGGGTCGAGGTTGGTTGCGTAAACCTGTATGACCTTCAGCGTATACCGTTTGGTAATTCTGAGTATGAGGTACGCAACCCTCGTCGACACACACTCAATCTTTACAACGTTGTCAACGAGAGACTTGTGAACGATAAATCCGACACCTCCTTGGGACAGAAGGTCGCCATCCCGGTGATAGAACAAGTTGCCGGATCGAGGATTACCATGTTCTCCTCTCACATATCCTCTTAGGAGCTCGGATAATCATATTCCAGCGCAACTTGTCTATCTCTTCTTCCAGCTCCACGATCTTCTCGTCAGTCCTCAGGGTGCGTGCGACTTATGTTGCCAGGTCGAGTCGACTTAGGTGGCAACCGAACCTCATCCGGAGATTCTTAGCACCCCTGCCCCGCCGTTACCATGGTAGCCACCGTAGCCAGTAATAGCGGGGCTGCCGGAGACTGGGGGCCGTCTCTTCGTAATTCCATTCAATGGGGGGGGGGGGGGGGTATTTGCAGTTTTCTTCATTGTTGTTTTACTGTTATCAGAAAGATGCTTGTGCAAGCCCCTAGCTGCCCCGACAAAGGTCGACCATACAGGGGCCAATACAGCTGTAGATTCGACGGACAACTTAGGGTGGGGCCCAACTTATTATTCTACACAATAGATATAAGGCTCTGTAATTAATAAGAACGTACCGGTTCCGAAGCTAAGACTGACCCCAAGGCTCGGTCAGGCAGTAGGTAGGTGCATGTAAGTAGTGTGTTAGAAGGTGTGTATGTGTGACCTGACCTAACTGAGGTGATCGGGCAGCGGCCTGGTCCGATGCTGCTCCACAATGTGGTATCACTCCAGCGGACGTTACCAATTGGCAACTTCTTCCTTCATTTCACTATTTCAGTTTATCCACTTTATTGTACACTATTTCAATCCATCAACTTTATTGTACATTTAATTAACTACAAACTCAACTAAATCCCCGTTAATCGTAATCAAAAACGTAACACACGGCACGAGTAACAAACCGTCGTTCAAAGTTCAACTTCCATTTTCACTTAGCAACAAATTTATAACCACACGTACGAACGCGGTCTCTTCTCGAGTCACAAGGTTCAGCGTTCCAAACAACAAACTAAATTCTTTCGTACAATATTAAATACTACGCCCGCAATAAGAACTCAAAATCAGCCTCGCTGACACGCTAAACTAACTACATAGTCAACACACAAAAGGCAATTAACGCGACGGTACAATTCAAAATTAACTTCCAAAAACAAACGGGCCACGCCCTCGAAATGGAATGCGAGCATCAAATTCCAGACCGTCTGTCCACTCGGCGTGCGCGCAAGGTTCTGATCTGCCCACCGGCTGAAATAACGGGAGCCGACACACGCCCCCCCTCCCTCCGCGGCGTTTACCTCACCTCGACACCATCGAATGATGCACTCAGTCAAACGCGATTGGATGACGTTTCAAATGCCTATGTTTGGGCCTAAACAATGTTGCTGCCCATTTTCTGCCTCAGTTTCCCTCTGTCGCCTCTTACGACACCCACGGGAAGATATGGGGTAGTAGGTATTCTTACCACACGGGGTATAAAAGAGTATAAGTAAAGAAATAAAAAAATTCAATCGTAATTTGAAACTGGAAGAAACGAAAAAGCGACACTAAAAAGAGATGAACATATACATTAATAGGATTTTGCCTGCGAAAGAATGAGATATAATACACTATACAGTGTTTCCTATTATCCCGGTCTCTTCTTTGTGCGGATGATTAATATAACCTTTAACTGTTAAATTATGAATGAGCAAATTTGTTAAATAAATAAAATTAACCACATTAAATGAAATTATCATATCCAGAATCCATTTATAACAATCCAAGATTTTATAATTTACTGATTTATATTAAATTAGTCGTGTTTATGTAATCTAGGAACTATTTTACGTACCACCTTGAGAGACGTGACGTTGATTGTGACGTGATGAAACCACGCTGCATATACATAATGGTTGTAGGACAAATGGGTCGGCTCAATCTTGGAAGGACCACGCTCTCACAAAATACTAGCGTAAAATAGCAGCTTAAACTGCTGTGTTAACTATGTTGAGTGTGCAGGACCATTTTACTGGAAATGGGACATTCCGTCATAATCTTCAGGGGGTGACAAAGCATCCGCATTTTGATTCTTAATCTAGATGTAGTGGTCTATGCGCCTGTGTGCTCGTTTGTAACCGCTATTCTATAAAAAAAATCACCACCAGACGTTCATTACTTTCACTATGATACCAATGAATAAAATGTTTCCTTGCAGCGTCAAAGTGTTTGACCAACGCCACTGCGAGCGGAACAGCAGACAACGAGGCTGATCACGTGGACCCCATGTCGTTGCATTGCTGGCTTATAGAGAAGGTATTTGTTTGATAATAGTAATTACCTAGTTTCACTTTCTTTGAGTGATGGTAGTGGAAAACCTAAGCGCACGCTGTTAATTTCAGAGTATGTGAACAACCAGGGTTTGTAGCATTTTTTTTTTCATTTAATAAAATCGACCATAAACAGGCTTACATTAAGAAACGAGTTGAATGTAAATTCAAGAAAAACAACTTACTTCTGCGTGAATCCCATATCTCTGGTGCCCTTTGACCTACAGGACCCAAATTCAAACTCGACCGAGCTACTACCTCAAGGTATCCACATACCAAATTTAAAGTCAATCGGTCCAGTGGAACGGAAGTTATCGTGTCGGCATACAGACTAACAGACTGCCAGCTAAAACCATTAACTTCCTTTCAATGCTAGTTGAAGTTAATAAACAACGAAATATCCATGAAAAACTTCGGCTTTAATATTTTGACCCAAGATCTAGGAAATTCAAAAGTGCAGTAAATAGCTTACGCTTAAACAGACTTCCTATATCACAAAAGTTTTAAGTATATTAGGTATGTAGTCAAGAAGTCATAAATATTGCCTAGCGAAGAGTTGATCCCTCCTGTAATTAATATAAAAATTGTGTCAACATAATTATGTAGATAACAATCTGATGAAACTGTTATTTAAGAGGATTGTGAAGTACCGATACCGATACGGTATTTCCAAAAATGCTATCTGTTTCATACCGCTCTCTCCGTATCGCCGATTGTGAGATAGAGTTGCAAGTCTTGGAGACAAATGCCCTACTTCCCTTTCAACCGACTTCAAAAAGAAAGAGGTTTACAATTGGTCGGAATCTTTTTTTTATGTATGTTCACCGATTTCTCGAAAACGCCTGAACCGATTTGGAAATTTTTTTTTTGTTTCAAAAGGTATATTATACAATATGTAACAAAAACCCTGTGGTTCCCGTTAAATACATTATCAGGATCATTATTCAAACGTATATAAATAACTTTTTTTTTAAAAACTCGTACAATTTTTTTTTATTTATTTAAATAATTGTATGCAAATTGCATGTGGCTGGCTCTATTACCTCTGCATTGTCTGGGGAGTAAGAGGATTCTTAAAGACCCCGCTTTACTTAGCTTTAGCATCGGCTAGTGTCAGTAAGAATTAATATAACCACATAAAATTTAATTTTTTTAATAAATTAAAAAAATATGGTCGAGTTTTAAAAAAAAGAAAGTTATTTCTATAGGTTTGAAAACTGATCCTGATAACGTACTTAACGGGGACCACAGGGTTTTTGTTACATGTTGTATATACTTCCCAGGTGGTCCCATTTAAATTTTATCGAAATCGGTCGAGCGGTTAGTATAAAATCAGCAATAAATTATTTTATTTATATTGAAGCCGGTTGTACTAAGTTTTTAACTTTACTAGTTGAAATATTGTCTCAGACGATGACGTTTTCACTCCTCTGAAACTTGACGAAATTAGTAAATTTTGGTCTCATTAGATTCAGTACACCATAATCTACGTACGTTTTTCTTAATTGTACTTCTTAATTGTTAATGCGTAAGTAGTCTTAGACTGGTGTAATGCATATTTTTGCCCCTTGCGTTTGTATATTTTTTTTAAATGTATGTAAAAAAATGTGTGTATCAAATAAATAGTTTTTTCTTCTTTTCTTATTGATAGTTGCTCTTATGTTGAATTTACCACCGCCACATTTAAAAATGCAGCATGGTATATTGAGTTTAAAACTGTTTAGGCGTTGCACCACGAATCATTCCGAGGGCCGGAGCTGCAGGCGGCGCTGCGGCGGCTGCGGCACCGGCTGCCGCCGCGCCAGTTCTTCCAGCGCGTGGGCGAGCTGCCGCTGCAGCCGCTGCACCCCCTGCAGCACCGTCACACCCACAAGCCCAGGTCACACACCTTCCAATTTCTTCCGCACATATTTACCATAAACATTGACCACAAGCGAAGTGTAAGGCGGCCTCAACTAGATACAGGGATGACCAGGTGAGTGATGCAGGGAGTCGATGGATCAGGACTGTGTACTGTGGTTTTCCGTGGGAAGGGCCTATGTTCGGCAGCAGTCATTTTATGAACTGTAATAGTGATATTGGAGTTTGGTTTAAGCAGCACATATTGACCATAAATAAGCGACACATAATGATCATATAAGCGACACATATAGGCTATATAAGCGACTTATATTGACCATAAATAAGCGATACATATTCACTATATAAGCGACACATATTGACCATAAATAAGCGATACATATTGACCATAAATAAGCGACACATATTGAATAAGTAAGTGACACATATTGACCATAAATAAGCGACACACATTGACCATAAATAAGCGACAAATATTGACCATACAAGCAACCCATATTGACCATAAATAATCGACACATATTGACTATAAATAAGCGACACATATTGACCATATAAGCGACACATATTGACCATAAATAAGCGACACATATTGACCATAAATAAGCGACACATATTGACCATAAATAGCGACACATATTGACCATAAATAAGCGACACATAAGGCCATATAAGCAACCCATATTGACCATAAATTAGCGACACGTATTGACCATAATTAAGCGATACATATTGATTATATAAGCTACTCATGTTGACTATAAACAAGCAATGCATATTAATCATAAACATGTAATACATCTTAGAGGTGATATAACATCTGTAGCCTTTTTATTTGAAGGTGGTTGCAGATATGTACGGGCTACATACAGTAGCCATTTAGCAATACAGGTAACAGCAAAAATAGCAAAGTTTAAGTTTATTTTATTATTATTGTATTATATTATTTTGTTACTTATTACTAGCTGTTCACCGCGACTTCGCCCGCGTGTAATTTAGGGTTTTAATTATGTTGCGCGGAACCCTAATACTTTTTATAAAATATAAGTAGCCTTAATTACTCCTTATAACACCAGCTATCTGCCAGTGAAAGTCTCGTAAAAATCGGTCCAGCCGTTTCGGAGATTAGCCGGAACAAACAGACAGACAAAAATTTTTAAAATTGTGTTTTTGTTATAAGTACCGTATATACTTTCATGTGCATTTAGCAAAAAGCTGTTATTTTAATATTACAAACCGACACTTCAATTTTATTTATTTGTATAGATGTACGATTTATGAAGAAAATAAACAAATGTGATAATTAATTTTTTTTGTTATTACATGTTATATGTGGTATGGCTTTATAGTTATAACACAAATGAGTCAGCTCGACCTGGGGATGGACACCACACTTCCAGAATGCCAGTGTAAAATAGCAGCTTTCCCGCTGTAATAGCTGAATACATTTTGATTCATTTAGATAGACGTATGTGTCTATGAGCCACAGTGTCCACTCATCATCAAATGGACTGTATGTTCAACCAATACCAACGGATGTTCGCGTGTCATCCTTATTCTATTTTAATAGAAAAAAAATAAAAAGTTGTCTTTTCGGTGTAGTTTTTTATTAAAATAATTGATCATTTATTTAATTAGTTCGTTTATTGGGTATTGCAGGTGGCGGCCAATGGGCACGTGCCCGCGATCAGACGGGCACCGCAGCTGGGCGCCGGCGCCGCGGGGCAAGTCGCACTCGTACCCGCCGTGGCCGGGCGCCTGGCCGCCGCCCCCGCGCCCGCGGCCCCGCGCCCGCGCGCGCCCGCCGCACGCGCCGCTCACGTCGCCGCGCACCTCGCCGCTCCCCTCACCCCTGCCCTCCGACGACTATTCCGGCCTGGACGCGCTCTGCCTGCAGATGACAGAGCAGGCCATCAACTAAGATCACAGTCTAGCCCCCCCCCCCCCCCCCATGACTTGCGACCAGACTGAATATGACACAACATGACCGTTTATGTACCCAGGTCACCGAGCAATGTATAGATTAGCATCCCCCACTTGGAGATGATCATTTATAAACCAAGGTTACCGAGCAGTGTACAGATTAGTATACAAGTCTAAATAATAACCAGAGGACATCAGCTATCCCAAATCAAAACCCAGTAAGTGACATTTAGAAAATGTTTTTATTGAAATTCTTATTTACGTAGTAATAATTATTCCTTGTGTTATTACTTAAAAATAACTAGAAATTTTATTAAGTACTTAATACTCTTATATAAACAATCAAAACTTTTCTAGGACTACCTTGATTTATGTTTCATTCTTATCAACTATATGATGACTCTTACTCGGTTTTGATATAGGACAACCGAGATAACCTACTAAACAAGAACCCTCTAAATAAGCTCCATTTCACCTAAACGGTCTACTTTTGTAAATACAATAATCTTTTACAATATTAACAAAGAGTAATACAGTTTTGTATCTATGTATATAATAAAACAGGACTTTAGTTACATAATCATTAAGAACAATATCAAAACATCTACTATATTAGATCCAAATTAATCAACCCCTAATTACATACATTTAAACTTTTAAATGACTATGACGAACATTTCGGTTAAATTTACATAAATACAAAACCTTGTCATTGCTAAAGTAATCAGCTCCATTTAAAATAAGTTGCCTTTAATATGCTGCTATTTCATAAATTCAACTTGAAAATAACAAAAGCAAGCAATAAATAAAAATATCTATGACTTCTCTTCATATAATAAGTCTACATAAATAATTATACAAAAATCAGTTTCAAAATGTTAACAATTAACATTACTGGAAAAATTATTTAATTAGGTGCAATAAATGAAAGTAATTAGTGTTCAACTAGTATCAATTTTACTTATAAAAATATACTTATGTATATCATTTTATATATTATAAATGTTTTTGACTGGCAACACTAAGGAAAATTTATTCAAATGCAATATGTGATTTAAGGGGGTAGGTGAGAATAAAGAATAAATCTCTGCATGGTTATGACATAAATTAGCAATTGCAAGTTGTGATAACAGTGGGGGGCACATAGCAAATATTTTTTTTTAAGTTCATCATTGACTATAACAATGTTTGTTGTATTTTAGTTAATCAAATGTCTATTGCAATTAGCATGAGTATTTATTTTCGTCTTTTTTATAGCAAAAGATTGAATAAAATGAGATTAGTATGTACAAAATGAGGTACGGACTTAGTGGTATTGGGCTGTGCCTTTTCAGTCCACTCGGCTGGAGCAAAATTTAAAACTGATATGAATGTTGTTATTTCAATGTATTTATTTCATTCATTTATTTATTTTGACTACATAGACATGACATAGCCAATTAATATATTATAAGCCATGTAAATCTAGTTAATATACGATAAACATAGATAAAATTGAGTAATAAATTAAAATTGTACATACTGTTGTAACGAATTGTGACGCAAATTGTTAATTTTGTTAGCAATATTAGGCTAGATAATACTAAGATTTAGTACCGTTGAACAAATGATGAGAAATACAAATTAAATATAAGACGTTCAGTGAAATAGGCACATTATTGTGTGACAAACGGTCAATATTAAAACTAAGTGCTGATTAGAGCTTACGTTAGTTCGCATAGAATATAAAATAGGGTTACTAATGACATCGACTAAATCTATATTTGCTGGAACTGTTCAGTTTTACTGCGATGCCTGGGGCGATGTACCCAAAACTGGGTACGGACTGCGTTGACCATGTGCAATGAACTTGATTGCATAATAATAGACACAGTGTCCTACGTTTCTCTGGTGCTAATTTGCAACATTGTTTCGGATTAGTCGATAGTACTTAGTTTAGCTAGAGTTGTGTTTGTTTGATACGTTGTTGGGACACCGGGTACAATAGGAGAGCTTATTTATACAATTATATTTTAATACGAGCGCATGTTGCGGCCTAAGTGTGTGATAGTGAGGTAGAAATTGTGTGAAGTGCGTGGAGACAATGCTGCAATCTTTCTCAAAGATTCATTCATCGATCAATGTTAGTTTTTATGTACATTTTATTTTTGATTGAACGTTGAAAAATTAGTTTTACCAGGGGCCTATTTTAATCATGTAATTAATGATGTTAATGATAATTATGTTATATTAATTTATACAAGGATTCAGATTTTAAACATGGATTGCAATATTGATTTACGTGTTTCATCATTCTTAGTGAATGGTCGTGATTTGCTGTTGACTTGAATTGTAATGCCTCATTCACATTTCTCTAAAGTGAAAAAATATTATGGGTTGACTTCTCCATCATCAGACAAAAGTTGTTTATAACATAAAATATAAAAGTTTAAAAAAAAACATAATCAACACATATTTTCATGAGCTGTGATGATCCTGATAAATATCTTATTTTATCCTGGCGATCCTGATCAGGATAGTAGGAAAAAGTTAGTTAAATTATTATATTGTCATCAGTCCTTAATACGAGTGCAAATTTTCAAGTTAATTGATTGTCTACAAGTTAGTGAAAATTAGTTTAAAAGATTACGTTACATAGATAAATTGATAGAAATAAAAAAATACAATAGTGTGAATATATTATAACTTAACATAAAGTAAAAGCCGACTTCAAAGAACTATAAAGTGGTATTTGAAAAGGAAACTTCTTTTTTTGTTGTGATTTGAAACTCTATGAAATGCAAAAGCAACACTGAAAAGGACAAACATAGGATTTAGTCTGCGAGAGAATGAGATAGAATATAATATGAAATTTATTGCGTTAAGACTATCTAGCATCTATTTTGCGTACCACTTTGAGAACTACTTTACCTATAGAATAAAGCTGATGGCGTTATTACAAAGCTAGCAATTTCACTCGAAAAACAATTCTTTTGATTTATTACACTAAAATTTAAGCTCTTGCATATCTAAAAAAACATTTAATTTCCGTAAAATCAACTTTTATATTTTATGCCGCACTTGTGGTTAAAAATTATCATTATCATATAAAATAAATAATTTGCCTTGAATTTTTTTATGTTATATTTCCTTTCAATTGAGTTTCACTTCTACCGCATGTGATTTTTTTTACTGCACACATGTTTTTTTTTTTTGCCATTTTAGGTGTGGAATTATTTCCTCAAAATTAATGTGGAACCACTCCTGAAGTAGAACCTATTTAATAAAAAAGTAATCTCGATTGGCTAAGATATCGTGTAAAATACATACAAATCCTTTTTTTTTAATCGGTTAAATAGTTCAATTTTATTTGATGGATAACCTTTATCTGATGATTCAAATATTAACGTTTAGGATAATAGAAATAGTTTAGTTCTGTACTAAAAAACATTTTTGTTATTCACCAGGTTAAAGTTTAAAGAGGTTTTTAATATATAATGTTAAATCTTACATATTATGCTATGTAATTAGTATGTAATCATTATCGTTAAAGCTTAGTAAAGTACACTGCAGAACACAGGTCTCCCACATAGATTGCCTCATAGGGCCATAGTCGCCAAGCGGGTTTGCAACCGCAGTTTTATTTTTTATTTTAGACGTAATAACGTATCTAATAAGAAAGACGCTGCTGCCCATCTCCTGATTGGTTTCCCTCTGTCGCCTCTTACGACAGCCACGGGACGATATCAGTTAACTAACACGCACGGGTTTTTAGAATGTATGTATGTAAAATTTTTTGTCCAGCTCTGTAGCCTAAACGGCTTGATATATTTTAACATATGGGTATTATTAGATTCGTCTTAGTTGTGGAAGTAAAATAGGATATTACATTTTTCTCTTGCAGCAGTAAACTTTTTACGCAGTCGGTTTCTTTTTTAATATTTTTTTTATTCAACTAAAAGTTTGTCTTTTCAATAAACTTTCTACTCAGTCGATTTATTTTTTATTTTTCTGTCTATAATTTTTAGTTTAAGTGTGCATGGGGCATTAGCAAGAAGAGCACATCCATTAGTTTGATAATATTGACACAAGCGGACTTAGATGTAATTGTTGACTGATCGTGTAATTTATAAAGTTTGCATGTTCATGGGATTGTCTTTATTTAGTTTTGTATGACAATATTTTATAGTCTGCAATCATTTTAGCCGTTTTGACTGGATCAAAAATATTTGATTGTAACATGTGCAATTGATCGTTTGATTTTATTACATATTATATGTACTTGTAAATAATGGACTAGTATGCGATGTTTTAATGCTATAAGATTGTTTTATACAAACACGTGATATTGTGTGGAAGATGTAATTACATTAGAGAAATGAAATAACGGTTAACTTGTCTCTTATTGTTTTATTTTCTGAATACTGTTGTACTGTGTAATTTACACCGTTCCTACGCTTTGGTTCTTTTATTTCTATTTTGTTGAGTCTTCTTATTTTTCTTCGTGTTGTTTACAGCATCTGTATCTTGACTGTGATAGAGAAAACAATGAAATAAACTTCCAATCAAATTATTAAAACATTAAAATAATAAATTGTATTCAACTCGGCTTTTTTATTTATATAAGGAATGTTGTTCATAATATAAAGACAATTTAAATAGCATTTTATTGCTTTTACATGATTATTTAGATTGTTATATATCTAATTGTAATAATAATAAAGATGAAACTTAAAATATATACATTTCAAATATTTTCCTGCTTTAGGCTGAGGCCTACATAGTAGCGATGAATACATTTCAAGTGACCCAAAAACAAAGCCAAAACCATGCTTAATTTATTGTAATAACACGCACGCACGCGCACACGCGCACACGCACACACGCACACGCGCGCACACACACACACACACACACACACACACACACAAAGAGAGTCATAATATGCAACTTACACATATAATATCATATATGTAGCGGTAGCCGTGTAGTGACGGTCAAGAATATCCACTACCCCAT